ACACACACACACACACCTGTCCGCCCGTCCACAGACACAGAGGTGTTCAGGTTCCTGCTCCTGGTTGTCACGGTGATGGTATAAAGCCTCCCAGGTGTGAGCACATTAAAGGTGCACTCCCTCATGTTTGGCTCCACCTCCCTGGTATCCACGGTGACGTTTCCTGTGTCATACAGGAAGCAGCAGTTAGATTACTGACAGATTATTACCCTAACGTGTAAACTCTGAGCGAGTGAGGTGACTTGTTACCGTGGCGGAGCGTCAGGAAGTAGCCGTCACGTGACCCAGAGGGGGCGTGGCTCCACATGGCGCTGAGGGAGGTCTCGTCCGAGTGTCGAATGTGGAGGTCCGCCACCGGGGCCGGGACTGCAGACACCAAAACAATGATGATATAATTCATGAATTAATTTCTAGACAAATGTTTCTACAATAATATAATTTTCTGTTCTTTTGGTAATAATATGTTTTGTTATGTTTCTATAATTTCTGTCATAAACTTCTTTAGTAATGTGGATTTTCTGTTATATATAAATAAATACATTTATATATTTCTGTATTTTCATAATAAATTTCAGCAGCAATCAAATATTTTCTGTCATATTTGGCAAATGTTATCTCTTATATTTCTGTAGATATATATATATAGTATTTCTGTCATGTTTTTTTATGTTTCTGTATTTATATATTATGTATTTCAGCTGCAATACATATCTTCAGTCATATATTGTATATCTGAAGTTATACATATTCTTTTACTGTATATTCCACTGTATTTTGTGTGGAATTATGTATTTATATAATACACTATATATATAGTTTGTTGTACATTTATTCAATAATATTGTTGTTTTTAATGCCATATTTCTTTATATTATGTGTCAGTATATGTACATTTCTGCTGTATTATGTATATATTGTGTTGTATATTTCATCAGTCACATATATTTTCTATTATATCTTTCTGCAGGTTTATATATTTCTATATTTCATATATATTTCATAGATATCTCCCTGCAGTAATCTGACCTGTTGCTCCCTCACAGCTGCTCTCAGCCGTCAGTCCTCCACTCTCCACCCTCAGCACAGCTGTGTACAGCCTTCCAGGAGTTAGTCCCGTCCCGGGGAAGCTGAAGTTGGCTGCCTCTCGGTCCGGAGCGGCGCTGACTAACTGCTGGGAGCCGTCAAACAGGAACAGCTTGTAGCTCTCCCAGCGGCCAGCAGGCGGCGTCCAAGACAGGAGGAGGCCCCTGGAGGAGGAGGGCGACAGGGAGAGGAGGGACGCTGCCGCCGGAGCTGGAGACGGGACGAAGACGGGATGAAGTAACAGAGAGGAAAGGGAAAAAAGAAAAGAACAGAACCAATCTCACCTGTCCTGATGGTGATTGCTGATTGGTTCGTCAGCTTCCCGCTCCTGGACGTCACTGTGACCTGATAGGCCGAGCCAGGAGTCAGCTGCTCAACGGCGACCTCTGTGGCGTCCGGAGGAAGCGTCGCCTCCCAGCGGCTCGTCCCATTGGTCGAGAGGGTGACAACGAGCGCGTCCAGGTCGCCTTCGGGCTGTTTCCATGACAACGACAAGCTTGTGCCGTTGTTGTAGCCGGCGGTGAGGTTAGAGGCAGCCGAGGGAACTGAAAAGAGATTCAGATTTAAGATTTCTGCTCTTCCTTATTTCCTTCCTGTCTTCTTCTCCTCCTCCTCCTCCTCTCTACCTGTCTGTCTCCCTTTGTTGCCGTCTCACTCATCCTCTTTAAACTCTGTTTGTGTGTTGTCGTCCCATAACTTTCCTCTTTCGCTCCCCTCCACTCTTCGTGCACCATCCAGTGTAGTTCCCCCACCCCTCACCCGTCATAGAATCGTAGACGCCACCACGCATTACACGGGTTACTGACACTTTAGATAGATGTAATGTTCATACGATAATGATAAACCGAGACTGTTTTTTATGTTTGGTTTTATAGCTATATATGACATGTAAACACTGCATTAAGTTTCATCCAACTCCGATCAGTTCCGTAAGAATCGGCTCTAAATTACCTTCTCAAACTCCTGACGCCTTTCCTGCGTGGCTTACCAATCCAGCATTTTATCAAGGCATGCGGGTGTGATATGTCACTCGCTGTTAATGTTTGCGGGATTGGACAGCGAGGGCAGTGAAGTAGTGTATCATGCAGCCACGCAGTTAAGAGGCTCTTAAGTGTGGCGTCAAAGAATGTGTAGCCCAGTGAGCTATTTTCAGCAGGATTCGAACCTGCCTGTGGCTTTTAATTCTGTTTCTGCTGCTCGGCACAAAGTGAGTTCCTTTGCCCGATGTGGCAACACTGATGCTCTCAGGGGGGAGGGGGGAGGGGAAACATTTAATAACCCAGGAATTACCCACAAATTCCTTGTGGGTGATTCCTCAGTCTCTCCCCTGAGATATCGTAGGAAGGAATATTGGGTGTTTTCCAGCTTGTCTGTGTGTTTGTGTCTGTGCGTTAAGAAGTTGGGAGTTTGTTTTGACTAAGATAAAATGACACTTTAACAAAAAATGGCATTTCTGTTTCTGATAGAAAGATTAATTTACATGTTTCTTTGCACCAGCTCTCCCTCTCCTCACCCATCTGATCCCAAAACTCTCCCCCAGGTCATATCAACAGTTTGTCTTTACCAGCATTTTCTGTCATTGTTTGTTGCCTTATTATAATTAATGTTATTACTCTTTAATCTTCATTGTTTTCGCTGCACTCGCTCTTCACACTGCTGTTGGACTCACCCCAATTCAATATATCAACCCTTTTTTAGAATAATTATTGCATTTTGCTGGATAACCGAAAAAGTGGTGGCTCACATGGTTTAAATATCTATCAGCAGCATGGTCTTAAGCCCACATCTTGACTATTCAGATGTAAAAACAAACTGTCAACACTCCTTTATCTCAAGTGCTGCACTGAAGAGCTGGTCTGTTGTTCATTTGGGCGGTTGTTTCTCTGCCTTGTATAATACAACACCAAGCAGCATGCCCTCACCCCCCCATCCGAAACAGTGAAATTGTCAAAATCCAATTATGCTTATTTTTTTTCCAAGTACAATTTTTCTGTACCATAGTGATTCCCTGATTGGACAGCTGTATATATTGCTTCTTAACTATTGGTGATGACCTCGCTACTTGGGATTTAGAAATTTATTTGCTGGCTCTGCCAAGATCTGTACAGTTGATGTGCTAGTGGGTTGCCTGTAATTCATGCTTGGGAAATTCTGTAACATAGTTTCTATTAATAAATGTATGTAAAGGACAGACACCTAGACCCCCCCCCCCCCCCCCCCC